TAGCGAAATTTAAAATAATTTCAGAACTAAATAGAGAAATAAGAATCCCAAAGAAGTATCTCGATGATATTGGTACGACTGTATCCAACAATAGCGCCATTAGTTCTGCTTTCTCCAGACTGGATAAGGAAGGGAGTCGATTGGGTCAGTCTTGAAAATCAACGCCGAAGCACTCTTCAGCAGAACCGAGTAGGCAACTAAAGAGTAAAGTCCAATTGCCATGACCAAAGAATAAACTCCACAAGTCGTTCATTATACCTGGTCCTCCACGAGTGGGAGGATCGAATACGATGGACCAATAAGCTGTATGCGAAATACGACGATATTGACATAGTTTAGCAAATTTGGCTGGCTAAGCAACATCGTCTTGGTGGGCAAAACATTCGGTGTATTCCCGTTGTTGGAAGCAGGGAAGAGCCGTAGCTCCACTCTGCTAAAAATATCAAGAGGAGAAGGACGTGGTGTATTCAACAACGTTAAACGAACAAAAGTAGCCTGCAATCGCTTTGGATTCAACAGCGTGGTCAATGGACTTTATATGGATGTGCTGGCACCACACACCAGTGCACCAGTGCACTATCATGATATCAATTTTCGTCGATCTCTGACGCCCAAACCGGAAAGAAAGTATTTCAATTAAAAAAAAATTTATTAAAAATGCAGAATAAAAATATTTGTATCAATAAAATCTGTGTCTGTAACTGGCCCACTCTTTTCAATTTTAAGAAAATCGGACCATAAATTATATATTTTGAATAGATCAGTGGTATGTCCATTTTCCGGAAGAAAAATGGTACTTATCTTGATTTGGGAAAACAGCTACCCATTTACCGAATTTCTCTTACATCAAACGAATTTTTGTAAAGGTCGAACTCTAGTCCGCTTTCCAGTTATCTCTCTGGTAATCTAAGCAAAAAGCTACAAAGTTCCTAATTTCAAGTAATTCGAATTTTATCTATAAATCGACCTCAAGTCAACTTCACGGCTATAAGAGCTCTAGACTAAAACCAGATTACAATGTACTCATTTACAAAGCAATTATAAAGCCAATTTGGATGTGTGCTATTCAGTGGTGGGTTATGACCTGTGGAACTAATATTAAGAAAATCATAGATTCCAGTCGATTGGGTAATAAATCTTTCTATTATTCTTGTACTTTTACAACCACTGCCCACTCAGAATGGCCAAAAATTTTCAATGCATTTAAGAAAAATTAAACCGTTAAGTCATTGGTTATAAGCTATTTTCAGCTATTTCCAATTATTCCAATTATCATTTGTAATTTGAATTTGAAAAATCAAAAAAAAAAATCAACTCTAACTAAATTGTTGCTGAGGTCAGCATAATTTGTGAATAATACAACAATGTACATATGTATGTTGATATGTAGTTGTAGGTGTGCGAGTACATAATTGGGCGCTTTGTAATCGCTGAAGCGATTTTCGGCCGGGCTCCAACTCCAATTAGTGGTATTCGTCTTGATGTTTCTCCAGCAAATGGCGGGCCTACTAATTATTTCTAAGCCGCCTCCGTATGACTGATGGATTTTTATGAGGAACTTCTTTAATTCATATACGAAATACACGACACGAGGCACAGGGCTTGAAATTCTCTGCCAAGGAGCGACTGTCATGAGCATGTTTGGTCTCACCAGGATACGCACTCTGGTATACAGAATGTTAGTACGCAATGCCAACCATTCAGCCTTTGCGGTCATACGAGTACATCCGTGTATGTATGTCTGTAAGAATATATGTAAAATCGCCTTCGTGTGTTGCTGGATCATTACTTATGCGATTATATGCATGGACTATGAGTAAGTTATGGATTACAATACAATTTCAACCTTCCACACAAAGTTAAAGGTGTAAGATGCCAAATGAATCTCCTGGCACTGAATAAAAGGCCTTAGCCATTTGTGAAGTCAGATGTGTGGACGTGTTTAAACTCACGTGTAAAGCAATGTATGTACATATGTATGTAGGTGTTTATTATAAAATTATAAATGAGAAAAAGGAGAGATTATTAAGGTTTACGGGTAGGAAGGCATAAAGCACGATGTTGATATGTATGTATGTGTGTTTGCAAATCTCTTAAGACATACACACAGTAGCAGTTATAAATAAAGGAAGCCTGTGTACACTCACGCAGTATGAGAAATGACACCACATAATGTCGAGGGCCAACTAGTGGACGAAATCAGTTGTTAAATCTATAATTTTCTTGTAATTGACATATGCATGTACATACATATGTATATCTTCATGCTTATAAAAGTGACACAAATCGAATAAAGCATTTGTCTACTTTTAATGTTTATAAGTATTCCAATAAGCAGACATATTGATGGCCTAAGATTTCAAAGTCAGCCGCGAGCTGTGACGCCGATCGTGTAATTATTGTATGTACGGGTAGTTTAAAAGTGCGCTGTCTGATTGTTTAGCTATCTTCCAACCGTACAAAGCCAGATTTCTTTATAAGCACATGTGACAAACATGCACCTTTGCACATACATATACATACATATGTATATGCTCAGGTACGGCTAGTCAGTACTTAATGTAACTGCCTGCACTGACATGGCCAAAGGGCAGCATACCGTGTTTCTCACTCATTTATTACCCACAATCGTCCATATTAACACACATATATATGTAAGTAGCATACACATACGGAGTATACAAGCGAGTTTTGTTTGTTGTTAAAATTGTGTTTCTCTGCCCACCACAGATTTTGTTCTTCTGCCTCATGTTCAACACTCGCCACCACCACCACCAACACCCACCCACCCCCACTTTTCGCAAAATAATTGTGCTGTTGTTTAATGTGTGCGTGTGTTTTTTTATGTTTTTTTACAAAACATAAACTGTTATAAAATTGCCTCCAGCCTAGCGTGGCAATGAGGATTTAAAATTTTCTGAAAGCTCATTTAGAGGTTTATGTCTTTAACAAATGTTGTGCGGTTCATTTTCAAATAATTAAATTTAATCAAAGAAAAAAATGTTTATTTACATGCGAATACATCTTCGCCGCGGTGGTTAGTCCTTAAATGCATTTATCAACTCAACTTTTTCAAACTATGGCGCTTTCATTAGGAGGCGATCGGTAATTCCTGGATGAACTGCAAAAAGCTCTATACAGTTTTTATAGTGGACCTTTGTGACAAACGTTGTCGAATGCTCGAACACCTTTCTAGTTTCATTCGTAATTCAGTTGGCTTGAACAAAAGTGCATTGGTGTGCTGTTAATACTTTGCAGCGATGAAGAGAAGGAGTTATCCTGGATATCACAACTCTTTCGAATAATTTGAAAAGTCAGTTCAGTGTAGTTATTGGGCTGTAAGCATAGACTGTGTGTGGACTTTAACTGACTTGGTTATCATTATTAACTGCAACTTTTCCCATTTCTTTGGAAATGAACTTAGTTTAAGAATGTAGTTTTTGGTGGAACTTGGCGACAACTTCTTCTATATAAGCGATCAATAATACGGCCTGAGTTGCAGTGAAATTTTGAGAAAAGAGAGCGATATGCTTGTCGGTTTCAGGATTTGTTATAAATAGTTTTTGGGCTCTTAGTAATATTTGTTTTGCTCTTTGAAGTTCATAATGTGGCTGCAGTAGCTAATATGACGAATAGCAAGGGTTAACGAAGGAGAAAAAATAAGTTTACATTATATCCAACTCTTCTTCCAATAAGCCGCTTGCAAGTCATGTGAAACCAGAGCGCTTTCTACATAATCCTAATCTGATTGGAGGATAGGCGCACCTTCATCTCAAATTCCACCAGCTGGTACAGCAGCGAGTACTTTCAGAGCATTCCATCCATTCGGATATATAGTATAACCTATCGAGGTTTATTCGCTGAACTATGCCATATCAAAAATTATAGCAAAATAATTTTAGTGTATTAGCGATATGGAAGGAAAGCTCCTCATAAAAATCCGTCATCCGCTCGGAGGCAACTCAGAGTAATACCTTCATTCGGTCGAAATTGGCGACTTGTGGGGCGAAATTTTCGTTCATCTAGAGACGATTTCGTTCTACTTCCAGAGAAAGACCTTCCGTTGGGAAAACCAAATAGAGAGGGCTGTACTTAGTACTTTCCATTAACGCCAAACAAAATAGCAAAAAAAAAGGAATGAATAGCGCGCTGATGTTAACTCGGCTATAACCGCGTAGGCGATGTGTACGCCTGTAAAGAAAGAAAAGACGATGATGTTGATGCTGGTTCCTAAAGAGATAAAATTATCTACGACTTCGAAGAAATGAATGTTAGCAGTGAAATGATAGCCACGACGCGAATGCGATGACTGTTTTTTACAAGACTGAAGATAACTCGTCTAGCCCTAAGAGACCCAAACGCTTCGTTTCTTTATCCAGTCTACAGAAAACTGCACAAATGGCGTGATGCTAGCTATAGTACGATCTTATAGAAGATTATAACTTCTCTGTTCAGCTCTGAAGTACGTATCTTACCTTGTCTGCAACCTCGTATGGTATAGAATTGTTCGGAGAGTGAATACCACAATTTGAACGGCTGATTGTTTTTTGTGAGGAGCTTTATGTCAGAATAATAAACTCGGTGGGAATGTCATTTTTTGCCGAGTCCGATCGCAATAATATAAATAAATTTTCTATAAGTTAGAATGTTGTTCTTAGCAGGAATCAAGCCCACATGATAGTACGCAGCTGGAGAGATAGTTCTTCCATACTCAGTATACTCCGAACTTCAGTTGCAAGGTATCCGTCTGGGGTCCTACGTACTCTGGTGCTAAACACTTCTGCAATTCGTCAACATTTTCCTATAGAATTATCTACCAATCCCCTACGACCTCAAGCTCCTCATACTGAACGGCTTGGAGTAATTATAAGGGATAAGTCAATAAATATATGGGAATAACTATCCGAAGGAGAACTTTAAATGATTTTAATCTAATACAAAAACTATGTTACGAGAAAGAGAAAGACTATAAAATTCATTATATTAAATATTTATTGTTATCTAAATTAAAAATAAGAGCATATGAACTGTACATACAAAATTAGATAAAATCGTCACTTTTAATTGACTAATGTCCATCCAAATTTGGAGTGTCTGTGAAAGTTATTTCATTAGCTGGACCGGCACGCTGATATTCGATAAGCAGAATGCGGGTTTCACCGCTTTTAAGTACTTCACGTGGTACATAGATAGTGACCTGTGGTCCAGCCACCGGCCAATAGCGACCCAAATTTTCGCCATTGACGAAAACTAAACCTTTACCCCAACCTTTGGTATCTAAGTACGTATCAGCTACTTGTCCCTCTGGTATCGTTAGCTGTCCATAGTAAATAGTCGGACCACTCCGTAAGAGGGAGCCTCCTTTATTTTCCCGGAATCGTCGTATAACATTATCCTCATCTGCGGACACTAACGCTATAAGTGTTTCGATATCCTCAACCGATTCCAATGGATACTTAGTCATAGTCCAATTGGTCAGCACTTCCTTGTCGAGCACTACATTACTTGTGATACCCTTAAAATCGGTTACAGGTCCAAAATTGATGCGGCCCTGATTCTCAACCAACAACTGCAAACGTTTGCCGTAAGTTGGACTAATTGGTAGTTCGTAGATTGGCGTCTCACGCGAAAGTATGCCAACGAATTCATCATCTATATGCACATAAGCACGATCATGCACGCCACTAGCACTTAGCATGCTCGGGTCACGTTTGAATGTCGGCAATAAAGTTTCATAGAGCACAAAACCTGAGTACTGATCGAGAGCTTCAAATGTTTTCGGCTTTGCGTCGACAACAACCCCCGTAGACAGTATTTCACGACCCTTTGCAGAAAGTATGGAACAGCAGGCGTTCAGCCGTATAGTGCCGTAATTTTTCTTTGGTGTAGGTGCGGGTACTGGTATATTTGGTAGCGGCAGATAACGGCCAATTATTTCACGTAGCTTTTTGAATTTTTCTGTGGCATCGCCCGCCTCAGTCATTGGCGCATCATAGTCATAAGAGGTAATATCAGGTTGAAAGCGACCGGGGCCGCCATCGTTCGCACCTGCGGTGAATCCAAAGTTTGTGCCGCCAAACATCATGTAAAAATTAACGCTGGCACCAGCATCTAACATATCACTAAAGTGGCAAACGCGAGAAAAAATAATAAAAATATTAACTCCGAGTATTCGCAAACAACCAAGTTTTTCTCTACATACACAAATGTTTTGGAAATAACTTCAGTGCGCACCCGCGCCATCGGCTCAGACCAATGTGTCAGCCAACCAGGATAGTATTCAGCGTTGACCATTGGTCCCTTTGGCTGTATCTGTCGCAAACGTGCCCAATAATTATTTAACTGGTTTGTAGGACCAAAGTCCATAGTCGCCAGCACACCTTCTATATGCCCACAACTCAATACACTGGGGCCATCGTTGGTGAAGAGCACAGCGTTGTCGTGTACATGTAGCAGAGTCTCATCACGCAGCCAAGTGCGATATTTTTTATCACAGGCATAATAGGAACCATATTCATTCTCCACTTGAACCATAATAATCGGTCCACCATTGCCGTAGAGGTACGGCTTAATGCGATTGAAGAGAACATTATACCAAATGCGCACTTCGTACAAGTAGTCTGTGTAGGAGAGAGAGAAAGATAGAGAGTCAAAGAGTATTTATTAGTTTAATCGCTATACAAAGCTGATTGCAGCTCCTTACTTATATCGGAAGTGCGTAATTTTATGTTGGGATATTTTGTGAGTAGCCAATAAGGGAAGCCGCCCTGAAAATTAATGAAAAAATATTTGAAAGTATTAGAAAGTGCTAAGAAATGAACAGAATGTTCCATAAAAATAGATAGAGAGTGTGTGTACATATATTATATGTATGTGTATACGAAAGAAGGAAGTCAAATTTGAATTATAACCAGGCAAATAACCCCAAATCTCTATTTGCGGTCCGTCACCTAATTTAAGCGCTAATCCCAAGTAACTCAAAGAATTTTCTCTTTGCATTTCATTGCAAAAAAGGCAAATTTTTTGTGCCAAGGAAACAACATCTTTTACAGGAGTGCACAACTATTTACGTATACCGATGGCACTAATCTCATAGGCCTTAATAACCACGCCATTCTTACTGCCTTCTTCAATCTTGCCAAATAAGCTAAGCGTATGAGTCTAGTATTGAAAGTTGACAAGACGAAATATCTGCGAAATATCTGCTTGGCTTCCACGTCACTATTAACTGTCGCAACTTTGGGATCGTAGATCAATACTATCTTGGAACCAGTATTAACACGAATAATAATGTCAATCTTGAAACAGAACGCCGTATATCTCTTGCTAACAGAAGTTTGAAAAGTAAAGTCCTCTATCGACGAACTAAAACAAAAATATACAAGTCATTCATCATTACCGTCCTACACCATGCCTAAAGGTGGAAATAAGCCGGATAGAAACTATTCCTTTGTCTTCCATTAACATTGCAATCGGCATAATGACTGGTCGCTGTTTGATGAGAAGCCATGGTAGGGGCTGTATAGGACATATTATATGAGAAGAAGGAAGTAGTACATTGCTTCTGCCACGCTCCTTGCATTAGAACGGCTGGACATTACATCCTCTGATGTTTTTAATTCCAGCGGCTTACTGAAATGGCTTGTGCCCTTTCTATTGATTCAACATTGGTATCGCAACAGACCATAAGACCTTATTCTGACTGTCTACTGGGCCGCAGGACCAAAAAAGCTATGCGGATAACGAAAAAAGATACACCCAATTTTTATTGTCGAGCTCTCGAAAGAACTACTGAACAGTTGTCGGGCAAAGCTGGAAGCCTCACAGATATAAAGAGGATGAGAGAACTTACCAGAAAGTATCACCTGAAATGGTCAGTTTATTGTAAATCCCGTACGGCAAATTTTTATAAACTGATTTTTATGAAGACCTTTTTTCAAGTTAGAAACAATTCGGAGGAGTTAACATTCTCAGTTTGATGGCAGAACCACTTCAGGGAGCAGTACTTAATAGAAAGGGTATACATATTTATGTAGAAAGTCAAACGCACATTAAGGCTTTTCTTTAACAGAGTAGCAAGCCGGCCAGGGTTATACTTACAAAGTTTTATCAGCGAAAAAAGAGCTAAACTCCAGGCTGTCAGTAGAACTATTAAGGGCGCATCGTCTTTTAGCGACGCATTCCTTCTATTTAAGTTCTCTAAAGGACAACTAATGTAGGGAATCTGTGGAGGCAGCAGAACATGGCATGTGAGTGTTCGGGGTTCGACTGGCACATGCTGCTGATGCAGACAAACGGTGGGACCTTGAATCAGCTATGGATAAAAGGTCAAAACGTTGACTTTAATTAACGAAGAAAACAGCAATGTGTGTAACAGTAGAGTCTGGTGACAATACGGACATACTATCGTCCAACCTAACCTAACCTAATCTAACCTTCTATAATTTTAGCTGTTAGTCCTACCAACAATCAAACCCCTCACCCTGCGCGGTCTTAACCACCCCCGCAATGCGGCCGCTTACATTAGCAGCCTTCGAAATTAAGTTTTCGTTCACTTACAAAATCACGCTCAGCACAAATATACGGTCCCGGTCGTAGTATTACCAGCAGACCGAGCTCATCGGCTATTTTAATGAATTTTTCCAAATCCGCAATGCCATTCCAAACATAAGTGCCATTTCTGGGATTATGTAGTGACCATTCAACATAGCTGCCGAAAGTAATAAGATTAAATTGTTAAAAATTAGATTCTTTGCATTTCATCAAACTTTTAAAAACTCACGTGGTGACCGCATTCAAGCCGGAAGCGCGCAACGTCTGCAACTTTCGTTGCCAACTTTCTGGATGAGCGCGAAAGTAATGAAACGAGCCGGCTATGAAACGAAACGACTGACCATCCTTAAGAAAACGATCGTTGTCCCAGTCGACAGTGAAGTTTCTTGACGATGGCGCCGCAGTGTCTTGTGCGTAGAGGTAATTTATGCTGAATAGCAGCAACAACAATGTGTAGCGTAAAGTGTGCATTATCTAAGAAAAGAATAGAATGTAAATACAAGTCACAATAAATCAACGAATAAAATTATGACATAGTTGTGTACATATGTATGTATGTGTGCGCGTAGTAAAGGCCTGTGCAAGAGGAAGTAAATGCATACAATTCTATGTAGTGCACTTATGAATGACCTCAAATATTTGTGTGCTGCATTTCCATAAGTGTTAATTGAATAATAATTTAGCGTTGCTAGAGAGTGTCAAGATCCGCCTGTCCAGCTGCATCATGGCAAATTAGATTGAACTGGATTAGATTAGTAGCAAATTAGTACATACATATGTATAAATATTTATGCATTTCTGCTCTCAAGACGACACTGCTGTATGCACTTGAACGTGCACGGAAGTCAAATCAGATGCTCGCCATCAATGTCTCCGTCAGTAGGCGCAAATGCCGAACAATAGACGCAATCATTTCTTTAAGCGGAATTTCGACAAATCCGTCCAAGGTAACTCATTTAAAATATAATATTTGCATTTCTTAGCTTGGGGGCAGTGTTGCAGTGTGATATGTATGTATGTGCATATGTAATGTGTGCATTTGGATTTAAATAATTGAGCGCAACGTGTTAATTAACACCATACACACTTCAGTGATGTTAATGATATCTACCCGTACATATCTTCTGTTCCACTCTGATAGTTTTAGAATAAATTAATTTTGACAGATATTTATGCTGTAATGCAGTAGAGCAATGCAAAAATGCCTAAAAATAAAAAATTAAAATTCTGCATGCAAAATTCAATTAAATGAAAGCAAGTGTGAACTCGATTGAATTATATCGTAAAATAGTTAAATATCGTATTTATGCCTTTTAGTATGTGTAGTCAAGTCTGAAATACCAGGTTTCGAGTTTTAGTTCGACTAACATCCAAAACATACCTCCATTTGTTGGATAAACATCAAGTCGTATACCAAAATTGTTGCCAGTCTGTATGAGGAGCTCTGTCGAAAATCGCAATTAGAAAGCGCCAACTGTATATATACGGTCAAGTAAAAAATTCGTTCGTTTTTTATTGATTTCTCAAATACGATAACTTTGTGTACATTTGTTCGTAAACTTGTTACCAACGAGCTGCCAACTTCTTTATAACCCTCTCGTAGAACGCTACGTCCCTATTGGCAAAAACTTGGAGAGCCAATTTTCACAGACCTCTCTTGCGGCCAACTTCTCACCATTCAGCGCATTCGCCATGGACAGAAAAATATGGTAGTCACTTGGTGCCAGGTCCGGACTATAAGGTGGGTGCATTATGACCTCCCATCCGGCTCCTGGAGCTTCTGGCGCATCACCAAAGACGTGTGTGGAAAGGCGTTGTCCTGATGGAACACAATTCGGCCTCTGTTGATCAAAGATGGCCTTTTCTGGATGAGTGCTGCCTTCAAGCGGTCCATTTGTTGGCAATAGAGGGCCGAATTGAGCGTTTGGCCATAGGAGAGCAGCACGTAGTAGATGATTCATTGCCTATCCCACTAAACATACAGCGAAACCTTCCTGGCCATCAATTCGGTCTTGGCCACCATCTGGGCCGCTTCCCCGAGCTTTGACCACGACCACTTCTGCTCGATGCTATGGTAAGTGACCCATTTTTTTTCGCATCAGAAACGGGTCGATGGACATTCGGTCCATCATGTTTTTTGCGTTAGTTCGTGTGACACCCGAACATCGAGCTTCTCTTTGAACCCGGGGTTATGCAAATGGTACTAAACGGCTGTCTGGCTTATCTTTAGTTCCTTAGCAATTAAATAGGTGCTCACGTGACGGTCTGTTTCCACTATTTCCCTGATTTTATCGCAAATAAAAAAAATAAAAATAAGCCCATTCGCCTAGTGATACGCTAGGTTTCGAACCCGTTACGGAAAAGCCAGTTTCAGTTTAATGACGGCAAACGTTTCAGAGATCACGATTTAATGGTATGCAACAGTGATATCCGGTCCATCAATTGGGAAGATGCCGCTGGTTGATGGTATAGTAAAACATCACCGTCCTCCAAAAGTTCCGATGGATCCTTAAGAAATTTACCACAGCGGTCATATAAAAGACCGCAGATTAAGTGTTGGATTTGTGGTGGGAGAGAGATTTAATTTCCGTATCTTATTTTGCTCCCCGAGCGTTAGAACGTCTATCCACAATCCACATCACAACGTTGCTGTCGATCGCTAAACCGAAAATAGTAAACACAACCAAGACACATTCGAAAACAGAAAAACGAGAGGCCGAAGTGCGCATTTAAGGGTATCGCTCTATGAAAAATGCAACGACTTACAGAGAATTTCCCGCTTGAAGAACAACAAAGCAGCGGGAGTTAATGGCTCACCAGCTAAACTATTCAGATATGCCGGCGAACAGCTGACAAGGTGCATGCATCAGCCTCTATTCCGAATATGCCCGTGCGAAAGCATGCTGGACGAGTAGAGGCTATCGTGTGAAAAGCTAAAGTCCGAATAGAACTTATCAGTGTGGTTTTAGACCTAGGAAATCTACAATAATCAGATATTCCCCAAGCGCAAAATCTTGGAAAAGACCCATGAGAAAATGATTGAACATCACCCGGCCTCATCGATTTCAAATCAGCTTCATCGCTTTTGCGGCTTGGCTCCCACGAAACGTGGATAACTTCGTCTATCTTGGAATCAATATTAACATCAACAACAATGTCATGCTGGAAATCCGGCCCAGAATCACTCTAGCCAACAGGTGTTAATTTTAACTGAGTAACCAATTGATAAGTAAAGTCTTCTCTCCAAGGTCAAAACACTGCAAGTCCCCTGTCATTCCGGTCCTGCTAAAAGTTGCACCAGTGTAAACAATGACCTGATGAGTCGAAGTTGAGAGTTTTCGAAATAAGTTTTGCGCTACTAATTGACCTGTATGGAAGCTGTACGACGTATACACATACATACATATATATATACAATATATATATATATTTACATATAAATGGCTTATTTCGTTTTAATAATATCTCTTAAATGGTGGGACCCATAGTTTATTTTGAGTCGCCTTGAACGGTCAATGGATTTTTATGAGGGGCTTTTATTTCATGTGAGAAATACACTCGGTAGGCTTGACATTGCCTGCAGAGTGTCGCCCGTAATTAGAAAAAATTATTTTCTGACTCGAAACCTAGTATGGTACGCACTGCTAACTGCTTGGCGGGCACAATAGCCACAATGACATGAGTAATTCTGCGACAATGTTGGCTAGGTCTGCACTAGAACTTTGAAAGCTTTCGGCCCAGTACCTGCTGATGGAGGTCGGAAGGGGAGGAAGACATAACCCCTATATTGAAAATATCAGGTAAAACAGCCAAGAATAGAAAAGACTTTCCCGCTATTGTTGACTCGAAAATAATTACGTAAGAAGAAGAAGATAAACACATATAAATATTTGTATGTAAGTAACTCCAGTAGAGTTGAAAATTCAAATATTTTTATCGCGATTAGCTCTAATTTCAAAAAACTCAAACTCTCGGCGTTTTTGGTACATTCATAAATACATATATACGTATGTACTGTTGTATCCATTTGTGGGAAGTACAATATTATAATTCACAATTAATAAAGGGCGGGCATAATACACTTAAATATATGCTGATACTAAATTATATTTATTCGCTTATACAAACAAATATATGCATGTACATACATATTATATTATATTGGTGTATCTTTTTTTCCTCAATTAAAAAGGCCTTCACATTGAACTTTTGAAAGGCGATACAAAAATTTTCTGCTGCAAATAAATGCAAATAAATAAATAAATTAATGATAAGAACAAAGAATTTAAAATGCCAAATATTCTATTTCATTAATTTTGTTTTTTTCTTGCTTTTCATCATTTTAGTGAATAGTTAATCACTTGACCCAGTTCAATTAAAAATGCTTTGCATACATAATTTCCCAATATTTCGAGCTCTTAAATTTGTGTTGCCAGTAATATCATATTATATACATATATGTAAGTGCGGCAACGATAGTCGAGTGGTTAGTATTGCGCACTGTCATACGAAAGGCCCCGGTTTAAATCCCGGTGTGACCAACACACAAAAGTTTTTATAAAATTAATTAAAATAAAAAATTAAGTTAAATTTTTTCATTGCAGTCGCTCCTCGGCTGGGGATATCAAGCGCTCCGAGTGCATTTCTGACATGAAAATCAAACGCTCCTCATAAAAAAAAACACTCAGCCATTCGGAGGCAGCTTGGTATAAACTGTAGATCTCTCCATTTTGTGGGGAAAAGATCAGGACGCAAAGCCAAAAATTGGAGGAGGAGCTCGGCCGAAAATCGCTTCAGCTTCAGCGGTTACAAAGCGGCTATTATATATATACTAAGTGCATGTGTGAATGCAAATTTGAGAAGCATAAAGGCATAACTCAAAAATTTAAAATTTTACCAAATACCGATTTTCAAATCTCAAGCAATAATTTAAAAACGAAAAACAAAAATTTCAGAGCTCGAAAATGTTTTGAAAAAAATTCAGATGTATATATAAATATGTATTTTAAAAATGTAAAATATGTACGTATATATATATGTATCTTGGTATGTGCACAAAATAGTAAAATACTGTTATCACTAGCTAACGTCACTCAAATATGAAATCATATTAATAAAAGGGGAGTTACTCATTGGACAATTTTTTTTAATATTTTTTTTTATTTTCAAGAAATAATCTCCAAACAAAATGTATGCACATTATACTTATTTTACTGTTATTTAAAAAAGAATATTTTTTTTAGTTCAAACTATTTTTTTTAAATTTATAACCGCAAGAAATGTGATAAAAAAAATATATAAAGAAAAGGTCTAAGAAAGAGTGGTATTGCCCTATGCTGGTAACTAAAAATTTTCAAATGCCTTTACAAAACAATTCTCTAATGTAATTCATGCAAATGAGATGTATCTTTTTTAAATTAACTTAAATTAGTCAGAAAATACCGGTTTACTGCTAGAATTTCTTGACTGAAGTCTCACTAGCCGGCAAAGAATCGAATTACAAAACTACTGATTAATGTTTTATTTCAATTTAACTCAAAAGTATCAATATTTCAAAATGATAAAGTAATGAAAAAATTCTTAAAATAGATTTTAACAAATGAATCGTTTTTTGTGAAAATAGTTTAAGTCCATTTAAAAAAAAAAAGTAGTGAATGATAACAATTATCATAATCCTATATAATATTTGTATTATATAAACATTGGAAGTAAAAGAAAATGGATTTAAACCACTTTGAAAATAAAGAACTCAAATAGGGAAGGCTAAGTTCTGATGCAAACGAGCCATAGATGCTTGGTTGGTTGGTTAATTGAAGTTGAAGTTGAAGTGGCTACCGGGCATCAGATTGTGATAGCCCTGAGGATCCTAACAACCGCTCCCTCCACCGCAGTTTATCGCACAAATGTATTGAATATACAAAACTGAGCACTCACCACATCTTAGCACCCGCTATCTCTCTATCTCAGGTCTCCAAAGGTTGCCGCCCATAGACTCCTCAACCTACTTCTCCAAAGTGGAAGGCATTCGCAGTAAAAGTGCCTTAAGGTTTCAGATTATTTTTCTTATCTACAACTGTAGTGTAGAAAAAGTTATGTGGAACGCCCCATCTCACTGTGTGCCTGCCCAATGGAATATGCCTATAACTGTAGATATCTCTTTTTCTTTTAGTTTTTAGCTGATATTTTTATGAAGTCGTGAAGTCGTTCAAAAATAGATGGTCAAAATTAAAATCCCCACCACGTTTGGTGGAGTTTAGTTGAACAATCGATATTCGATCTTGAGTCAAGCGAAGGGGTGGAAAGTCAAAAGTCCGGTTGAGGTCATATTTAATTATTGTTCATACGAGAACCTCAGAAATATAAGTACCAAATTTTATCGAGTTCTGCCCTCTCTCTCCAATGCTTTCTTTGTAATCTTTTCATCCACAAGTCGGTGGTGACACGCCCGCCTGGAAATTTTTTCTAGCTCTCATATTTATCTATTCAAGACGTTCGTTCTTAGATATAACTTTAATTTTACTTCAGTAAATTAAATAACGCGCTTTTCATACTCTTAAATATAAGGGCGGCGTGTGTGAACTGAAACTAGAACCTATAATTGCACTTACACTTCGTAAACCAATCTAGGTTGATTCACACCGGACGAACGGATGGGCCGACGTGACCAAATCATCTTGTCATGCCAAAAAAGCTTAATATAAATACAAATATATCTTTATTATTACAGCCGGTTCATTCACATTTTACGCAGAAGGCAAGGTTTATACTCAATTTTCTTTCGTTCTTCATTCTTCTTCTTCAAATAAAACTATAGATTCAAATCGGCTAATAAAAAGTACAGTTTGAGATGCTCAGGTATTGAGCAGTACTAGCAGCACGATATGCGTTCGTTACTCAACTGCTCAAATAGGTCGAATCGCGAATTGCATAAAGGTTCGAGTTGCTCGAAATTGTTCGAACAACATATTTCTGACTGAAAGCTGGGTAATGGTTTTTTTGGTTGCAGAATTGTGAGTTGCACTCTCCAAAATGTATGAGCTCGTATGTATATATTTGAAATATATTTAAATATATATAAATACATATGTGCTAGTATGAAAAATGAATGTTGAGAAATATTTCTTCGTGATGGAGAAAATTGTTATTAATAATAATTGGTATTAATTAAATTTAGAAAAAAATAATTAAATGATAAAACTGGGCACGAAAATTATTTATTTTATTTTTTTAACAAACTATTTTTTAGCTATGCCAGCTAAGATCGATTCAGTACTGATTTGCTCGAAGAGAAATCTAATGGGTCGTTCCCTAAGTAAATATTTTTTCGTTTGATGACAAAAGCTGATCTTATTGATCGCTACCAACCACGCACTTAACCACTTTACAATATATAAGGAAGCTGACATAGTAAAGCTGGTTAATTAACAAAAATTTTTTAAATAATTTGAAATAGTTTTTGCTTGGTTGCCCGAAATGAAAGTTCGAAAACGGTATTTTTGGCTTATTTTACTGTCTTACTGACGTAATCGTAAAAATGCTATAACAAGGCGAAAATTGTGTGATGCGTACGAAGAAGCTCGGTTGGTCGAAGGCCAGTGCCAAAATTGCTTTTCGACCACCCCCTGGAAGGGCTTATAAAGCCGATGTGTATAAAATAAGGTCGTTGGGCGATGCAAGTCATCGAATAACAACTTGAGAGGGTGCTAAAAGCTTAAATTTTACAAATGAGATCGTTCACAGGCACATGAAAAAAATCGTGTTTAAATAGCACTTTAAGAAAAACGTAAATACTTGGTGAACGGTCTAATAGTTAAAGTAAGAGATCATTACAGATTTATTCATACGAGTAATCGGAAATTAAGGTGGGAAGCTGGTCTAGGGCGCAAAAAAATGGGTATATTTTATGAATTTATTTTGACTCAACAAAGGAATCAATCCAAAATCTGCGAAATATTTTTAATAATATAGGTTTGATGGTACAAATACAAAATTTTTCGCGTGAATTAATTTCAAAATGGCCGTTGTCCAGTATATCTCTGAATGGATCCATGGTCGAAGATGTAAACTCCTTAATTTTTGCCCTGGATCAAAAAATAAAATTTTTTAAATTTCTATATAACAACAGCAAGACACGTACGTAGGATTTTTTCAATATTTGTTTTTTTTTTTTCGCGAAATGGCGCACGTTTGAACAAAAAGTTACAATTTTCACTATAAAAAACGATATAAAATTGTTGATAATTTAAAAAAATATACGTCTTCAGACAACGGAATTTTGAACGTACTGTCAAAATTTCGTAAGAATCAGTAAAGATTTGTTCGAGTTATGTCTTCGGCCAATTTAAAAAAAAGTGATTTCGAGAAAACAACTCTGAGTTAGTCGCTTGGGACATAAAAGCGAGGCACTGCCGTCGAATGAAAAATTTGGGCATTTAAACATTTTTGCGGGCATCCATCTTTTGGTATGTTATTTCTAAGACCCTAAAGCAACTTTTAAGACAAAATTTTTTGTTTCGATTTTTTTCAAAATTCTAAAATTAGTTTTGCCATCCGAAGGTATATTTACTAGAATTTCATACAAAAAGCTAACCAAAATATGCTTAATTTTTTGTATAAATTTTTTTTTAAATATTTATTATTGGTATATAAGAAAAAAAAATATGTCACACAGTCCAAGCTTTAAATTCCGAGCAAAGTAATCCATGAAGTTTTGCCCAACACAAGTCAGTCAAGGAAAAAAATAACAATAATAAAATTGTTATGGTTTTACTCACTCTACTGGCTGGCCTAACTTAGAAAACTTTCGAACAGAATTCAGCACACTCGTTTCGACTTAACTAACTAGGCCGTCCAACTTGTTCGCCTCTTCGACTAGCACAGTGCAATTAATTAAAGTTATATGGTATCATATTGAAATGCTACTAATATGTAATGCATGTATGTATGTATATATTACTTACAAGAATGGCAAAAATAAATCCAAATTTATATGATTAAAGAGATTTTCTATTAAATTTTTATAAAAAAAAAAAATAAAAAAATAAATAAGTCCGTTAAACAAAAATTACTAATAAATGAAACAAATTCTTATCAGTTGGTAAATTTGTATGTTGGCACTATTTAAATGTTTTTTTTTTTTTTTGTTTTTAAAGAGTAATTAATATGTTGTATTAATTATTTCGACAGGATCACATCTTTTGCACACTTTCGTCACTTTCTAAACGTTCTGACGCGCTTTAACTCTTCGACTGATACTTTTATATTTTAGTTACACCGTAAGAAGAACTTTACGTTTGGGTTATCAAACCGCAACTGAGTGTGCACTAGACCGGCCGACGATCGCTTGAGCTGGAGAGCACAAGCAAATCGGGAACACTACGCTCGTCTCAAACTCGCCAACGACAGCTGTAGTACTGTATAAATAAATGTGTACGTACATACATACAAGCGTGGATATGAATGTGCAAACATGTGCCAGAAATTGATGCCAACCATTGTTTTCATTTATTTTTATTAACACACATATTCATAATGCTAAATATTAGGTTGTCAAATATCTCCCTTCCGCCTTTTTGTCTTTTGAATTTAGCGGATATGTACAAAGCGCTACAGAGCTCGTATCTGGCAACACTATACATAATTTGAAAGATCTTGACATAACCTACAAAACAACGCTATGCATGATTAGTTTGGATATTGCGTTCAACAGTTATAGACGTGTAAACTTAGAGTTCACTAACGCCGAAATTCGCGCTATTTTAAAGTTTTCCTTCGTTAAAGGCAAATCCGCTAGAGAAAAGTTCCGTGAGATCAATGGTGTTTTGGGGCATGGTACTCTATCACTTCGAACCGCGGAGGAATGGTTTCGACGATTCAGAGCCGGTGAAAACGACACCATGGATAAGCCAGCCGGCGGAAGACCTGTGACGACAAATACCGATCAAATCATGGAATACATCGATTTAGACCGGCATATGTCATCTCGTGACATCGCCCAGGAGATGGGAGTTAGTCACCAAACCATTTTAAACCAACTGCAGAAGGCTGGATACAAAAAAAAGTTTGATGTTTGGGTGCCGCATAATTTGACGCAAAAAAAACCTTCTGGACCGAATCAACGCCTACGATATGCTGCTGAAACGGAACGAACTCGACCCATTCTTGAAGCGGATGGTGACTGGCGACGAAAAATGGATCACATAGGACAATATCAAGCTAAAACGGTCGTGGTCGAAGGCCGGTGAATCGTCCCAAACAGTGGCCAAGCCGGGATTGACGGACAGGAAGGTTTTGCAGTGTGTTTGGTGTGATTGGAAGGGAATCATCCACTATGAGCTGCTCCTATATGGACAGACGCTTAATTTCACCATCTACTGGGAACAACTGGACCCCTTAAAGCAGGCGATCGACCAGAAGCGTCCAGAATTGGCCAACAGGAACGGTGTAGTGTTCCACCAGTACAACGCCAGACCACACACTTCGTTGATGACTCGTCAGGAGCTACGGGAGTTCGGATGGGAGGTTTTATCGCATCCACCATATAGCCCGGACGTAGCGCCAAGTGATTACCAACTGTTCCTGGCCATGGCGAATGCCCTTGGTGGTGTGAAGTTGAACTCAAAAGAGGCTTGTGAAAAGTGGCTGTCCGAATTCTTCGCAAATAAGGAGGGGGGCTTCTACGAGGAAGGTATTATGAAGTTGCCGTCTAGATGGAAACAGATCATCGAACAAAACGGCGCATATTTTAACTAAATCCGATCACTGTAACACTTTTTATAAAGCATTGAATGAAGAGCAAAAAAGCGGAAGGGAAATTTGACAACCTTATATTTATATTCTGCAACTGCTCGCTTTTACAAATAAACAGATTACTACATGCATTCACAACACAAACAAAAAAGAAAACATTTCAAATCAATAATATTTATTTATCTACATATTCTTTGAGCGCAGTAATCGCGTGCGCACCAAGCACGTTTCAGGCTTAAGCGTCACCCGCACACCTGCATGCCATCGGTTGGTCGCGTACGTGTAAGTCGTTGCTCTGAAACGTCATATGTATGTACAACAATCATTGATACTCTTCTGGTTTTGGTTTGTTGACATGCAAATGTGTGCTCAGCTGGCACTTATTCAGATTCCGCATGTA